TCGCTTGATTCTCTTAAGAGATCATTTTTCTTGATCTTCTGAGTTCTGCTCCCTGTATTACATCATCAACTTTTCTCATCTGACCTCATGTGCACCGAAATTTTGATCTTCTCTTATCTGATTACGTAACTATTACTAATTTTCTTTTGTTACCAACCCAACAACACAACTGTTAGTCAATTTTTTTTCAAGAAACTTCTCTCTAACAAGATATGTATATATGTCGTTACACTTTAGACACCCTGTAAATCTCAATGCCTTGTTTTACTATAACGCTCTGACAATGTGCTTTCTAATGGCCAAAAGTTTGTTAAAACTGTACACCTTTTATTTTTATTTTATTAAAGAATTCAGGTTGTACGCAGCTGGTGATGAGAACCGACAAAATAAAATGGATCCAGATTATTCTGTGCGCCAATGTTTCTTCTTTCTTTGTTCAAATTTATAAAAGGGAATCATTGTTTTTTGAAAATCCCCTATAGATTTTTATCACTCATGATGTTACTTGGTCGAAGTTGCCAGTTGAAACAAACTCGTTGACAGTTGATACGACCGAGTGGACTTATGCGTGAGTATAAATAACAGTAACGTAATGAAGAACTCAACTGGAATGCTAAATGCGCCTATTCAGCCGTGAAATCTTCCGCTTTATTGAGCAGCGTAAATATCAAAAGACAAAGAGCGTCCCGTGACTGTTAGGATATTAATTTACTAGGGAAAAAAGCAGGCCATATTTATATTTTTAACCATATCATAATCTGTCTAGGTCAGTGAAAATAGATTATTCTGATTGGAAGGCAATTCGGCTAGGTCGGCGAAAAATGAATATCCTGATTGGTTAGCGATTTGACCAAGATCAAGGTGTAAGTAAACAGATGATACAATTTTATTGCCATCCTGAAATGATTAATCATTTAAGCCGATTCCTATCAGAAGATAACTGTTGTTTGGAGTTCTAGTGAGAAGTTTTCACCAGCTGAGCCTATCAAGTTGGGGGTGAGAATAGATCTTCGCCAGTAACACTGGCTGACGTTTTAGGCATCTCGTCTTCTACTGTAAAATTTAGTGTCTCTGCCTCTAGATAATTAAGGTTCCATAGATAGTTGCATTCGAGGAGGGAGACATACAGACCTTCTTGCAGGACTTCGAAGCCGTCACTGAGTTGGTGGGTGTCCGTGTTCCGACGGGGAAAGAGGTTATGCTTGGGACGCTATTGGGAGGTGGAGCATAGGAATCGAACTACAGTGTAGACCGGTCAGGTAAGCAGGAGATCTGGACGCTGGTGATTGAAAGATTGATGGCAGAGCTCAACAAACAGGCAGTTGATGATACAGCAGTTACGTGATGCAAATCTGAGACCAAACAGAGATCTGCTGTTGGTCGGTGGTGAAGCGGACGATGAATCTACCTCCCTGCTATTTTTATTAATAATAATAATCTGATTTTTTCCAAAACAGTACATGTGATACAGAATGAAATTCTCAGCATTTCACTACAGTACTGCATCCAGTTAGTACATTAACAATAAATAAAATTCTACATAGATTAAGGGTAATCTCAGTTAGTTATGACGACATATTGGCATGTCGGTAGCAAAGCTACAAGTAAACAGATTGTTTGAAGGCGTTAAAAAAGTAGATGCTAGCACATTTACTTGCGTAAGCGGTAACAAAAAAAAGAAAAGGAAAAGAAAGAAAGAAAAACGTTGTACCTATAAATGATATGAGGAGTTGGAAAGACGAGATCCAATTGTTCTACTGACTATTTAATAAGTCATAAGTTTCACGTCTAACGTCTTCTTTATCGCACAGAACACGAACTAAGTAGGGAGGGTATGGTTGAGTGAGTTTTTGTACTTGCTAGTGCGAGCATATAGTTTTCTATATAGGCTTCTGGTCCTGCCTGCCTGATGAGATACAAGGGAAGAGTTGTGAATGAAGAGGGTGGTGTGAGTTAGATAAAATGGATTTAGCCCATTTTTCACATGAGTCCAAGTGTCTGTCGACTAAAATATTAACAAGCTGGTTAAGTGACACCTTGTGGCTTACCCTGCTGATAACCCTAAACATCCTGTGTAATAAGGCATAGTCTTTCTTCAGCAGCCCCAGAAAAACTAAGGGGGAAAAATAGAGAATAATAGGCAGGATGCAAGAGTTAAAAAACGTAAGAGTAAGGGTTGGGTTATACCTGATATATATCCATATAATATGTGTGTTTGTTTGACAGTCTGTATATTCGCTATGTATATATGGACCGATATTCCATTATAATTAGGCAATCATGTTAAGACTGTCTATTGATTTGTTCATTTTGAATATTCGCTCTCACACTTGTGTTCACACACTTGTTCGGACATTCTTATACATTTTTGCTCTCACACTATTGTGTGATACATATTTGATTCTCCTTGTGTTTGGAAAATGGAAGTATCATCGCAAACCTAGTGGTCTTCTGATTTCCGTCTTTCTTGTGTCAGGACTATTAAATTCTCGACCAGTACATAACAATACCACAATGTCTAAACTTCTTGATGTAGAAGGTAAGACGGAATATTTTCTTAGAAATCATCAAGGTATGAGACGATCAGAAAAGATCAGCAGATAGAATGACGCGAAGAAATTTGATATCTGACTTGGTCTGTATTTCAGTGCCATCTATGTTGCACACCTCGTGAGTGTTAACCAGTTTTTATGCCTAAAGGTGAAATTGACTGTTTGATATCTAAATGGATTTAAGGTAAGACCGTTTTCCTTGGACAACTGGCTGATTTCTGATATAAAGCCATATAGTTTGGAGCAGTAAAATATATATAATATATAATAAATATATATTCCTAATAATAATATTAATAATAATGATTTACTTTATTCTAAAAACAGTACTTGTGATACAGAATGGAATTTTCAGCATTAATCACAATATTACTGCATCTAATTTCTTCAAATTATAAATAAAATTAATCACACAGAAAATTTTCCACATTTACAATAGAGATAATGTCAAAAACATGCAGCATATAAAATGGAAATAGCAATAATAATGATAACAGCTAGGGTAATAATAATAAGAATACAAGTGAAAATTGCCGTGGGCTTGTTACACACAGTATTGTCAATGCGGTACAGAAATCCTAACATGTTTAAAAATATTGAATATCATGTTCTCTTTACATGATATGGTGAGGGGAAAAACAAAGATTACAGCGGTCATGGAGATAAGTTGGTGTTTGCAATTATGAGAGTAAAACAAAGAAGCAACAGGACCATAAATATAATAGAAGTAATAAAAGTAAAACTTGAAGGTATATAAGGATGGATGGAGGAAATTGTTTATTTACTAGATGAAAAAAGGTTAGTTAGTTAATTGTTGCCTGACACTATTTTCATCACACAGAATACGTTCCAAGTCTGGTATGTTAGAATTTCTATACTTAGACTTGCGACTACATTTGAAGTTACCTTGTTCAACGTGAGGAGATGGAAGGTGATAGCTGAGGGTAAAGCGGATGCTCCAAGTCAGACAAAATCCCTCTAGCAAATTTATTGCACGAAGTTGAGTGCCCATCGATAACAGCACTAACTATGTGATCCAATGGGACACCACTCACCCTACTGACAGTCTTCAGTATTCTACGAATTGTGACATAGTCCTTTTTAAGCAAACCAGGAAAGAATAAGCAAGGGTGAACAGTAAAGAAGAATAGGTAGGATGCAAGAGTTTATGAACTGTAAGAGGAGGAGGGGTTGAGTTATACCCGATTGTCTTCACTTCTTAATGTAATGTTAATGTCAGACGGAATATTTTACTGGAGATCGCCAAGACATGGGAAGTCCAGGAGAGATCAGAAGAGAGAATAAGTCCAAAATACTTAATTTCTGATTTGATTCCTATATTATTGTCGTCAATCCTACAACTGTCATGAGAATCGATGACTTCTTTTAACTGTCTTTTACATCTCTGAAAGCTGAAATTAACAGTTTGACATTTAGAAGGATTCAGTTTAAGACCGTTAGACTCAGACCATTTGCTGACTCCCGACAGAAAGCTTAGTGTTTTGGTACAATCTAGCTGGGAGTTAACAGCCATTGAAACTGTTAAATCGTCAGCGTACTTCACAAAGTTAATTTCATCAGAGTGAGGCAAGTCATGCAAGAAGAAAGAAAAAAGAAAAGGAGAAAGGACAGCGCCTTGAGGGACACCAGCTTCAGTAGGCAATGAAGTGGAAGACTTCCCTTTATACACGGTGTACTGTTTTCTGTCTGAGAAATAAGAATTCAGCCATTTGACAACCCAACAGTCAGTTTGAGTTTCAGCAAGCTTGTTTAACCAAATGTCCCTAGGGACCGAGTCAAAATCAGATGTATATTCAACGAAGGTACAACGAACGAATTTAGCCCCCTTGTCTAGATTGGAAGCAATGTTATGATATAAGACGGCAGCTGCATCTAAAGTGCTTCTACTGTGCTTATAGGCAAATTGTTTATGGTCATTACAGGATTTTAGCGAAGGTAGAAGACCAAGTAAAAGTAATTTCTCCATAGTTTTCAAAAAAGGAGTGGTAATAGCAATGGGTTTAAATTTGACACACGCTCCAGTAGATGATTTAGGTATGGGTACAACTTTAATGTCCTTCCAAACCGCAGGGACGATATTACTGGAAAAAGATTTGTTAAATAGATCACTGAGAGGGTGACACAGAATATCAGAACATTTAAAAAAAGTAATACTAGCTAAATAATCTGGACCTAAGCTCTGGGATAGGTTTAGAGACTTGAAGCACTTTTGAAACCTGGAAAGGGGCTATTATTATGCCGATGAACGTATCTCTATATACTCCTTATAATACTTATCAGTAGTACACGCCAAACTGTAATTACTCATGTGATTATATAAACGTCTATCGTCATAATTTCACCATACAACAGACAATTCCACAAAAAATACTTGGCACCAAAGGTGAAAACGACACATGAAAATATGATATTTTACAGAAGTCTTACCGATACCCAGTAATAAGTATTTCTAACCATTTCATTAAACAAAACAACCTAGTCTAGCCTTCTATCATGACGAGAGAAACAAAGCCAACGAGGAAATATATGCATATGTACTAAAAGTGCATGAGTGTAAACTAAACGCCAGGTCATTATTATTATTATTACTATTCCGCGTAAACTGTTTATCCAATCAATATCTCAGTTATGATTACGTTTCAAAACAAAATTTATTATTATTACTATTAATAATATTGTTAATTGTAGACCATTGTAACGGTGTCTGTCTGTGTGTGTGTGTATGCGTGGGTGGGTGGGTGATAACAATTCATCCTTTAATCAATGCTTCAGAATAAAGGTCATAATCGTAATGACAATTGCAGAAAAATGGATTTGTGTATTATATGAAGTTAAGTGAAATGCATAATAGTTTTGTATGCGTTGAAATATACTAAAAATAGCACTTCCATTTTGTGAGGTTGGACTAGTATGTGTGGGCTTTCGTGGAACATTAGGAGAAGGTGGGTCAGGACTGGATAATGAAAGATTTTTGCGCTTTCGTAATGCATGAATATCAGAGCTTCTCGAAGGTGTTGATTCAACCAGGTGTGTGTCTTTCTGCAAATTAATCAGCCGTTGATATTCGTCAGCTATGTCATGTAGAGTTGACTTAGGATTTTGTTCTAGCTGATTGAGCAGTCGAGTTCGGATATCTGTGAAACGAGGAGATTGAAGACTGCATATGAGAATCAAGGCTTTGAATTGATCATCTGTTAAGGACCTGAGTCGGAATCTCTCACATTCTCGGTTGACTGTGCCAACGTGAGTAAGAAAATCATCATTTTCATTCATTGTCAGCTTGAGGAAACGATAACGTATGCTGAATAATGAGGTGTGGTCTCCAAAATGTTCACGCAGCAGCTTTATTGTATCATCGAAACACTTGTCACGTGGTTTTTGGGGTAAAATTAGGTTGCAGTACCGTTCATATTCTGTGGGACCCAATTTACGTTATAACACTCGCACCTTCCAAGCATCGTCTTGTGAGGCGAGATCAACTGTGAATAAATCCTCATATTGTGCATACCATGTGTCAAAAGTGACATTCGTATCTGGATTATAATTGAACTGTGAAATACTATTCACAATTCCGTCTACAGATGGCAGCATGGTATGATTCGGATTGCTTAAAGGTGAAGCCGGACCAGTCTGTTAGTTGACGAACATTTCCATTAATTTCATTTGTCGTTCAAGTAGTAATTCCAATTTAGAAGAGTCCATAGTTTTCCCCGTCGCCAAACTGTTATTTACTCGTCGCCAAATTATTGCTATGTACTGGTCGAGAATTTAATAGTCCTGACGCAAGAAAGACAGAAATCAGAAGACCACTAGGTTTGCGATGATACTTCTATTTTCCAAACACAAGGAGAATCAAATGTATATATCACACAGTAGTGTGAGAGCAAAAATATATGAATGTCCAAACAAGTGTGTGAACAAATCAATAGACAGTCTTAACATGATTGGCTAATTATAATGGAGTATCGATCCATATATACATAGCAAAATATAGGAGACATGTCAACAAACATACATATTATATGGATATATATCACCATGGTCAGACTGTCAACAAACACACATATTATATATAATATAAGGGGAATATACATTGTTAAAGGAGACAGGTTCATCAAAGTGGAATGGTCACAGACTAAGAGAGCAACAGAAAGAGAGACCACCATATATACATATATATATATATATACATGGATACATATCACGTTCCAAGTGGGACATAGGGCTTCAAGCTAGTGGCTTGGAGTTTCTGCAGCAGTGTTTATTTTTGCAAGATGAAGTTGCTAGCCTCATGCCCAACCTTTCGTTTCCACCAGCTTTACCTCTGGCTCGGCGAGGTAAAGGAGTGCGTCGGTGGCTGGGAATCGAACCCCGGACCATGTGCGTGGTCGGCGAGCGTCCTAACCGCCCATGCCACGGACGCATCAAGTTACATAAAAGGGCATATACCCACCCACAACACTGACTGGCAGTTGTGCTACAAAATTATTGTCAGAAGTAAAATTTCATGGACTGGCCACTGGTCAGTAATTCCATATTAGTTTGTTTATTAGATCTATCACACAGTCAAACAGTATTATTTGCTGGATGACACAGTTTCGAACACAATCAATTATTGTTCATAATCATCATCATTAAGACAGGAAGTGATACACATAAAAGAGGCCTTGAAACTTAATAATTACCCTGATAAATTAGTCAGAAAATATGTGAGGAAACGTAAAAATAATGATAGTAGTGGCAGTGATAAAAATAATAATATAAATGAGGAAATGCAAGTCAAATGTGCGCAAGACAACACCAACAATAAGGAATCTAAATCATCAGTAGTAATTCCATACAAGGAAGGAACCTCGGAAACCACCTTACGGCGAGAATTCTTAACAAGGCAGGCAGGAATTGAAGTGGCTGACATTCAAACCACCCACAAACTCAATTAGAAACAAGCTTTGTCGGTTAAAGGATCCTGACAGTGGAGCCAATTAAACAAAACAATTTAGTTTATCTAATACCTTAGCTGAGATGATTGTCAGGTCGAATACATAGGTCAAACTAGTAGAACGGGGGCATTCAGACTAGCCGAACATAAAAACCTAGCACAATCTAGATTGGTTGACCCGAATAAGATAAGAAATCTAAAGAATAGTTCAGCTATTGCACTCACTACATGCAGTTACACACAACCAACGCATACAGTAGGATGGGGATAGGATGACAGTTATAAAATATGATATGACAGCAGGGTGGAGGGAGAGATTGATAACAGAAGCTTTGTTTATCGAATCAAATGAGAGGGGATACGTGTATTAGGAATGATTCAACACCTGTCCAGTTGGAGATCTGGAAAATTCTCCTACTCTAACGACAAGAAATAGGCGAGAACAAATAAAACTATAAAACTCAGGTTTCGAAGTCGTGTGTTTATTAGTGATGATATGATTATGCGGCACAAAAAATTTTGTTCGAAACTTTGTCATCCAGTAAAGAATACTGTTTCACTCACTGTGTGTGATACATCTAATAAACAAACTAACATGGAATGACTCACTACCACCACAGTGTCCAAGTTTTACTGGTCAATATGTTTGCCTAATAGACTGAATATCCTCAGTTCGATCCCTGATATAGAATTCTAAATAACAATGAAGCAGTTATTCAGAAATTTCGTTAGACAGATCCCCTATACTACTTTGAATAGTGACAAGAACGAACATATTTGGAGGACAGATGATATGAACTCGTTTGATTTTGTCTATTCTCCTACAGCTGCGTACATCCTAAACAAAACCAATTATGTGTCACAAAATGGTGTCTAAACATACTCTTTAAAATGTGTTCAAGTTATAGATAGAAAGTATAAGTAATATAATTTCAAAGATGATAAATAGTATACAGTTATTTAGTGTTAAGAGAGTAAATATTTATTGGGATTTCTTTGGGAATAAGGATGGACTAAAGACAAAAGACTTCGACTCAACCCATGCGTAGAGAAAGAGGGTGTAACTAATCTCTCGCTACCCTGGTAACGATAGTTTTTTTATTTATGTGCTTTTGTGTTTTGTTGTTCTGTTGCGTAATACTTCATTCGATCGTGATTGTGGTTTTCACTTACTGAGTTGAACTCACCATTACCCTTCTAAATCACACTGCCCCACCCTCCTGAACTCTGCACCATAATATGCATAAATTCACTGTGTTGTTATCTCTTGTATTTTATCTATAGTTCATCCTTGTTCCCAAGAGTAATCTGAATTTAACCCCCTCCTGTTTGCTTAATTACGCTGTATGCAACATAAAGTCCATAAGCGTACTCTGGAACACTGTCCAGCTTGGTTAGCTAACCAGAGGAGAAAATAAGAATACTAGCAGCTCCATCCTCGAACACCTTTTCAATTCTGGGTATGCAACACTCCCACTGGAATGCTTCACAATGCTACACAGAGTCCTTTCATATCGTGCCAAAGGACTTCGAATACACCATCTGTACATAGCTGAAGCATTGGCTGGGTATTCCAGATCTGAAACTGGACGTCTGCATTCAAAAGCACTGCATACATTCACTCGCTCTACTATGGCCAAAGTGACGTTCGTACTAAAATTCTACTTCTTTTTATTACGTAAGCTTATTATTATTTCGTTATCATTATTATTCCCATCATCTATATCTAATTACCACTCTATTACTGTTTATTAATAACATTGCTTTTTCATACAGATTTTATATAAAAACACTTTGTCGTCTTTCCACTAGTTCCTGTCCATTCTACACGAGCTTATTGATTAGTCATTATCTCACACTTATTACGTCATGCTGACTTCTGCCTCTTTTCTAAATTCTGATTATTCACCCCGTCCAGGTTCCACCTTACACATTACATAATACGTTTTTCAAGGACACATTTTACCAATTTTTGATTGGTCTTATGGTTTGTGATAAGTTAGAATTAACAGGCCATTAGGTGGGTTTCAGTGGCTTAATGTCCTACAGACTTGCTCGCCTTGAGACCAGAAAGTCCTAGGTTCGAACCCCGGTCAGTGAATGCGTATTGTTGAAGATTTCCAAACTAAGACAAAACAGCTTTCCAGTACTCCATGTTGATTTTCAAAAGGTTTCCTAACTGATATCAGCTTATGAGGAATTTTCCCAACCAAATATAATTACGATTGTACAGTTTATGAAAATGAATGGTCGAAAAGAAAATTTTCACCGCTCTTAAAGTGTTTTTTATAACTTTATATTTAGTAACTCCTCTAACATCATCTTTGAAATTATGTTGCTTATACTTTCTATATATTACTTGAAATCATTGTAAAGAGTATGTTCATACACCATTTAATGACATATGATTTATTTTTTTTAGGATGTATGCAGTTGAGGAGAATCGACCAAATCAAACGAGTTCGTATTATCTATCCTGGAAATAAGTTTCTTTCTTTCTTTATTCAAAGTTACCTACAACTGCCTTGTGGTTTTCAGCGGTTTT